CAGGTGACTAGAATTCCTTGTCCTTCACCTTGAGTATAGAAATAAATACTTCTGGGATCATTTTGATTCAAGTTATAGTGGAAGTCTATGTAGCAGGCTTAGTATACAAGTTGGTTATTGAGAATTTTAAGTCGTTTAGTCTTTTCTGGGTTCTTGTATTGGCAGCAGTAGTAAGTGTATCTGGTACTATGATAGTAAGCTCTTTGTGCAGCTACTTCATTAGGATCACAACCACATTTGTATGTTTGATTTTGTTTGCATAGAGAAGCATAGAAACAATCAATAGCAATATATTCTTGTTTATTATATTCATGACATAAATTGTTGGGACAGTCTCTGTACAAGTAGTTCTGTCACAAGTTTGACAAGAGGTTCATCATGGAACTTGCATAGGGCAATGAACTGCGATATGCCCAATTTCTTGGCAACGGTTACAACAGTTGGTAAAGCATTTGGCAAATAGATGAGTAGGTGAATTGCAATTTTCACATACTCGAGGAGAATTTCAAGTTTGGTGACAATGAGGTTGGTAAGTGGTCTAGTCATTGGGGTTGTAGTATCTATGTTGGTAGTATCAAATACATAAGTCTCTTTAGGTGTTAGGTACTCTTATTCATAGAGCTCCAATTCATCTGGGTTAGTAACAGTAGGTTGAGCAAGAAGAGGTTGATTATTTTCATAAGTGGTAGAAGTATAGTACTTGTGATTCTTCTACTTAAAGAAGTAGCAACCATTTTTTTAATTGTAACTAGCTTCAACTTTCTTGAACTAGTCATTTCCAAGAAGTAAAGAGTAGGAAGTAGCAGCGATTACTTCAATAGTAATAGGGATAGTGGCACCTTCAAAGAAGGTCTCAGATAATTTCTAAAGGTTAAAAGGAAGTTCTGATAGCAGAAATAATAAGGCTAGTTAAGGCTTGTTCGATCTTAAGTTCTAGTTCTTGGACTACTTTATAAGCAATTATACTAATAGATGCTCCACTATCTATAATAGCTTGGTAAGGTCTGTTTCTGATTTTAATATTGCATTTGACAGGTGTAGTAGTTAGTTCAGAAGTGATAGTTATAGTTTTAGCTTCTTGGCTTAAATAAGCAAAAAGAGCACTTCAGATAGAAGGATTGTCTAGAAAGGTTTTCCATTTCTGTTAGCTTATAGGAAAAATAGTAAATCATGCTTCCCTATAAAAAAAAGTTACAAACATATCCTGAAAATACACCAAATTGTCAATTCAGAAAATTTTCCAGTTTTTTGCTATGAAAACTTTCCAATTGTAATCAAGTTATTTTGAAAAGTGCCAGAAATTGATTCAGTCACTTTCAGAAAAATTGAGTATTTTCTGAAATAGATTAATAAGATTTTCAATTCCAGAAATATTCCAGAAATATTTCAAATATATTATAATTTTTATTTTGAATATATTAAAAAATCCAGTTATTTTCTGGTAAACTTCAAATATTTGTAGAAATGCTTTATGAATGGAAACTGTGCACAATCATATGTTTTATAATTAAAACTGGTATATAACTGGGCACTTCACAAATTTATTAGGTACGATTATATAACGATAATGATACGTATTACTTATGCATGAATAAAAACTGTGCACAATCATATGTTTTATTATTAAAAATCGGTATACAACTGGGTACTTCACAAATTGATTATACGATTATATAATAATATTATGTATGCAAAACACTAAGTTAGCGATTTTTCCAGCAGAAAATTAATAAACGAAATAGTAACAATAATATAGTTTCTTGCTTTTTATTTTCCAACCCTTTTGGATTCAGTTTTCTTCATTGCTTGCTTCTTTGTTATACATTTCACATTTGCTTTTGTTTTATTTTTCTTCCCTATGTATTAAATATATGTACAATAAGTTTTAAAATAATAAAAAAGTCAAGTATTGGATATAATACGATACTAGAATCTTTTTCACTCTCTTGCGTTTGCACTAACGGGTGATTACTAATGTCTGACAACTTTCTAACTTTCTTCTTGGATTGTGTAATCGGTCTAGATAATTCAGATGATGACAATTCAGCATCAATATTATCTTCAATTTCGTCACTGTCAGATTCGATTTCTTTCATCACCTGCTTTTTAGTTGCATGTTTTGAATTTGCCTTTGCTGTTTTTTTCTTTCCTATATATTAAATTATGAATACAATAATAAGTTTTAAATAATAAAAAGATAAGTATTAAATATTATTCAATACCAGAATAATTTCTATTATGTTTCGCTTTTTTAGATCGTGCAATAGGCATTGGCGAAAGCAGTTCAGTGCTAATATCATCATCGCTTTTTGGTGGTTCAAATAAACATGATTCAACATCATTATTATCACCAGCAACATCACTGTCAATTTCAATTAAATTAGTAACAGGAGTAACAGGTGATGCAGTAACAGGTGTAACAGGAGATGTAGTAACAGAGGATGTAGTAATAATGCTTGGTGGTTCATCTTGAGAACTTAATAAAGATGGAGTTATTGCTACCCTCTTATTTCTTAAAGGAGGGATGATATTTTTACGTTTTGGAGGCGGTGCAATCTTTAACCTTTTTCTTACGTTCAGTTTCCACTACAAGAAATTTTAAGTATTAGCTATTAACAGTGTATTAAAATTAAAATACATACCCCAATTTCCAAGAATATTCTCAGAAATTTTCTGCAAAATGTAATCTCCAACCGAAACAGGAAATGTCAGAAATTCACGTTTAAACTAACAATAATTTAATAAATGTCGGGGCTGAAGCTGGAAATGGCTGAAGCTGGCAATCACGTGCTATTCAGATGATCGTCCCGATGATCA